TGCATTGATTGACATGTTAACGCCAGTTAGAGGTTATTTGAGGATTGTGTTTTTTCAGAGATTAGAGAAGTGTTCCTGTGACCGAAAGGTGCCATGACCCAAGAGTTTCAGTTACCTTAAAATAGGTGGGTGAGTTTGAGAAGTGATGGAAATTCATACAGAAACCTGAAGGGTTACAAAAAGAGGGCGGGATATAATAGTTATTGTTATGTGTTTGTGCTCTTCAGTGTATGATGGACAACAGCAGAGGGGTGGTGGGGGTGGAGGGGGAGGAGGAGACTGCTGGTCCAGTAAGAGTAAAAGTGAAACTAAGTGGACAGGGATATATAAGAGCATCAATACAGCTGGAGTCACATCACATCCTTGGCCACTTCAGGTGCAAATACAGGGAACTGCCTCGTCATCAGCCAATCAGCTTCTAAAGAAACCTCAGAAACCAGACATGGCTCCGTGGGGCGATGCTAAGCTTTTCTTCTGCGTCCTCTTCATCACATGCTGCTGCACAGGTGATTATGTTTTTTTTTTTACTCGCATCAGTTTAGGGTTTATCATTAAACTCTGTCTTCAACATTTAGCAAATGTTGAAATTAAAGGGAAATTAGGAAACTGTCTTGAGCTAAAAAATAAAATAAAAAGACAACAGGATGTGATTCCAGTGATGAAACAGTGATGTTGTAGACCTGGAATGGCTCCAGACGGAAATAGTAGATTAAAAAGAGGAAATATTTCAATTTCGTAATGTTTGATATTGTAATGCACATCTGTGGTCCTTCCTTAAGGTAAGTTTGTGTTTAATATTAACAGATTGTTCTATTTCTCCTTTATAACCACATATGTAACCATAAGAGCTTAAAAAATACTTACAATACTTTACTTTAACTCTCTGTGACGCTGAAAAAAGATGCTGAGGTATCCGGCACAGCAGAAAAAAAGAAGCCTTAGCTCGACTAAGATTTCAAAAGGAAGGAACAGAATCAAATTTTAAATGAAAAGAGGTCACACATGAAGTACGTAACCTGTAACGTCTAATGTCTAAACAAACAAAACAAAAAATCCCAATCAAAGTCAATTATTTTCATTCTGAAATCCAATTGGCATTAAATCACAACAGAGTTAATTATTTTTAAGGAGGAAGTGTCTCTGGTATTCCCCTCTCCTTGGCTCACACTTTGTATTGCGTTAAAGTTTAACTGCGGTAAATCCCTGGCAAGCGACAACAGCTAGTGATGCAACTTTTGTGCTATCTGTTATGACTCTGCAGTGTGTGTAAGTTGTGATATTTGTGTGACCATGTCAATAGTAGACGATATCAGTGCACCCTGAGAAATAACTCTACTGATTTCTCTGAATTTCCTCTTTGGAATCACCTCCAGTATTTATCTCATAATCCACAAAAATCTGACACTATTTTTATTTTATGATATTGTAGTTTTAGCTGATGCACTGATTTTTATTGCCATTACTCCAAGAACTAGATATACTTCAACATTAAGTGGCATGTGTTGGAGGGTTCAAGGAAAGGTGCAGAAATGCTGATTTGTGGCGGCCAAGAAGTAAGAATCAAATGTTTTATTTATTAACACCTAATTAAAACAAGAAGTCATTTACACCTCAATATTTAATGATGAAAAAAAGAAAAGAAAATGTGCACATGTACTGATTTAATGCTTCCCAAAATGATTTATAATATAATGATATAACAGATACATGCATTTTATTCAAATTTTCAACAACAAAATGAAGGGCCACATTGAGCGCCTGCCTCAAAGGAGCTGTTAAAGATAAATCTTGTCACCTGATATGTCTTTTGAAGTTCAAAGTACTTAGTTCCTACTTTAAAGCCTCACCGCTTTAATGTTTAATGGGCCGTAAAATGAAATCCTGACACGCCCTATCATTCAACACACACATACCTCAAACACATTAAATCCTTTACATGTAAAGAAGACTTCAGATTTACAGATGATATTTCAGCTGTATTTAAGAGGTTGGTGGTGACATATGAAGCCCTTTAGTTTAACATGGTGTTTTATTTCACAACAACAAAAATCATGTGAGTGAATCTGGTAATGGCCTTCATCATCAGATAAAAAGAAGGGTCATCATCACACACTCTGTAGGCATTAAATATTACAAAAGTTTGTATTGGCCTTTTTTAGGATTCAGAGCTGTTGTCAGGCTTGAACTGCCAAAGATTGACTCTGATTAACATTATGTGGGAATCCAACCTTCAACCTTTCCCCTTCTTTATCCTGCCATTCATATTCTTATTATGTTCCAATTATTCAACCTTTATCAACAAGGCAGCTGCTTGTCAACGGGGAATGACATCAGTTGCTTGGTGGGCTGACAGCAGTGGCTCAAAATGTGAGAAGCTTGAATCTTGAATTGCCACTGCGACTGTGGCATCACTCTGTTATGTTTAATTATTAAGCCATGAACACACCAGTCAAGGACTTAACCATTCCAGTCAAGTAGATGGCTGTTTAAATGTAAATGTTCCTCTCCACTGTTGCCATATGTTATAAGTTCTTTCTCATGGTGGATTCATGTTGGGTCTAGGTACATTATAGAATAAAATCACTTGTTACTGAATTGTTTGTTTTATTGTTTCTGTATTTCAGTGACATTGGCAGAGATACCTGTGGACTGCTGCTTGATGGTTGTCGAAGACAGAACAGTCCCTAAAGCTGCTATTGCAGATATTCGCAAACAGATCAGTGGTCAGGGCTGCTCTATTGACGCCACTATGTAAGTTTATTTGGTTTAAAGTTGATGATGTATCTAACCAGAGGATGACTCAACACACTTTGACTATTTCTAAACCATAAGACTGACCTGGTAGATTTTGTTTTTTGTTGCAGTTTGGTGACCAGACGTGGCCATGAGCTATGCGTGTCAGCTAATGCTCAATGGGTTCAAGAAGTGGAGAAGCATGTGGAATCTCTGAAGAACTTCTGCAAGAAAAATAATTACAAGGTACTTCATTGTAAAATATAGTATACTGTCACTGTTGTAGGTCTTGTAAATCTCAAGTTTAAATCTAAATCTCAGTTTGCTCTGTGCTTCAAATATAATTTAGTTTGGTTTGGTATAGTGGTAAATATAGTTTAGTTTTGTATGAAGCAATGATGTAAATATGAACTTTCTAAATCTTTGTGTGTTTACAGGGTAAACGCTGCCTTGGAGTGAAGCCTGAGTAAAAGTGAGAGTGACCTTTGACATCTTCAGCCAATGAAGAACAAACAGAATGAGAATGGACTACTGAAAGTCTCAGACCGGAAAAGATGGATCCAACCATTAAAGTCATAAATGAATAGCGCTTATAAGGTTGAAAATACTTTCTAAAATTACCACAGGTTTTTTTCTCTGTATGGTTGTTGGTTTTCTCAGAGGATACGGGTACGGCAATAGAAATAAAGATAATCTGAAGGAATTTAATTGTCTTTTGAGTTTTCCAAGAATAGTGAAAGAAAATTTCAAAGTTTAAAATGTGAATGATTTTTAGTCTTTTAGCTATCTGTAATCAAATTCTCCACTCTGGAATGGGCAGCTTTTCTGTTGTGTGAATGTTTGGAATGTTGTTCTGTTGTCAAAGTAAAGATATTTTTAATACCCTGAACATGTCCTTCTTTGATGACGACATTCTTCACTCTGTCTGCGTTAAAGTGAGCAACTGATCTTTGTTCTTCTGTTTGATTATACCTCTGCAGTTATGAAATCATATGACCACAATGAAGGGCTGAAAGACACACACATATTCCTCATCCTCAAAGAGCAAAGGCGCTCTGAGCAGCTCTTAAATAATATTTAGAAGAAATCTCCTGTAATCAGGAAAATAAAATAGACTGGAGGCTAAGGTTCAAAATCTGTGCATATATGATAACTCCTGCTGACTGAGGCCATATAATGTGAACAGTCAGTGAAATATTTAACTTTGGAGTCATTTTGTAAAGCACCAGCTGTTCAAAATCATGTATATTGTTATGTATTTGTAACAGTGTATTTCACTCGTGTTAAAAGCCCAAGCTGAATAATACAAAATGATAATAATTAGATACAGTCAAATTAGTTAAAGATATATTTATCAGATGGTTGATTCCATCACTGATAAGGCAAAGTCTGATGTGAGGTTAACATGAGCTTGCATTAAATACAAGCATGAAGCTTTTCTGACTGAGCTGAGTTTGAATTAAAGGGACAGGCTGGCAGACACTTGATTCAAGCAATGATTTATAAAGGAGAAAGTCAAATCACACAATGTCTTGCCTACTACTGATTTCTGATTAAAACATCAGCAGCACCATCTGGTGGCTTTTGTGCACCCCTCTCACCACCAGTTAGTATAAAAACAGCTAGAACTTCACTTTACCATGGTTTCATTCCTTTAGGTTCCTGTAGTCTGCAGTAAAAATTCAGCTACTAAAGGAAACTTTAGTAGCATGCAACTCACTGCATATTAATTTGAGCTATACTTTACTCACGCCTTGAGTTTATCATGTTAAATCACTTACGTATAGGCTGAAAAAGAAACATGGAGAAGAGCAGCTTTGATTAACCCAAAAACAAAAAAAAATCAAACATCCCTAAAACAATCTCAGACCAGTCTTTAAACACTAATGTCTCAGTTTTGCATCTATGTGCTCGCTGTTTTATGCGAGAGAATGTTTCACAATTTCTCTGTCAGTCCTACCAAAAGTTGTTTTTCCACATCAAGGCATAAGCTTCAGTTTTGTGCACATTCGAGCTGAACCATCTTAACTTCAGGAGGAAAATGTGTCGTATTTTGTTACATGAGAAAGTAATTAGACAATACACACTACAAAGGTGGCTAACAATCGACTTCAGATGAAAGGAACCTGATTACTATTGGAGACTATAATACAGGCTTCTCCAGACTTCTATAACCAGGATATGATGACTGTGTTAAACATATTTTCGGTTTGAAGGAGAGTAATACATTCAAAGATGAATGGGTAAAAACAAAAGACACAGGAGCCTTTTTAGTTTGTGATCACATGAGGACTTTGTTATTCAACATCCATAGCAGTTTGGTAATGTCATACATTTAAGTCATATAGCCAGGACGCAGAGAGAAGAGCAGTGTCACTGATGCTGAAAGTATTTACAGGCAGGAAGAGGCAGCTGGAGGAGGAAGGAGCTCATCTCCATTTTTTTCACTTATACAAGTGAAGCATTTTAAAGCACATCATTTAAGCTGACCAACTGCTACAAATCAAAAGTGAATCTGCCTTTGCCTCTGAGCCTCCATTTTCCCCTGGTTTTATCTGTACTTTGTGTTTTCTGTTGTGTATGTTTATTTTGTTTATATGGGTGTCCTATGTAGGGACTGTTCAGGATGTCAAAGGTGAGCAAACTGTGTGGAGGACTGAATACAATAACAAAACATCATCATTCCTTCCACTACTGCGGCCATATTTTCATTAGTACTGAAACTACAGCTTATACCTGCTTCCTTTATTTAACATATAATACATCAACAAATCAGAGATAACATTCATACATAAACCTCTGTGACAGAAATGAATCATTGAAGGATTTAAATATATTTACACTTCAATGAAAAGGAAGTTTTACATTTTGTTTGCAGAAATGAAACGACTATACAAACTGTACAAAAAAAACTAAAACAGTATAATTATGTAAGTTTTTCAAAAACTACACAAGCATTCATTTATGTAATTAATGAAGATACATTTTTACCTTTTTATAATGTTTCATATTTAGAAAGGGCATCTGTATACTCTCATCATCTCTCCAGGATAACTCCAAAGCCATGATTTTAGTTTCTGGTCAACTCATTTTGTAGCTAAGGCCGCTTTAGCATGAACATGCTAACACAGGAGCTGTTAACACAAAATGTGTCGAGGGTTTCCCTTTTATCATCAAAAATATCACTTCTATAATCGTCTATATTTCTTCACTTTGTTTAAAGAATCTCTGCAAACATACATTTCTGGAACTTTTCAAGAAAGACTCAGAGCAAATAGAAGATATGACATCAGGACAAACATTAGATCGCAGGCTTCAAAGTTTTGAACAGGGCCTGTCTCCCTTTTTTCCTCAAAGCACTTTTAGGCAAAGGCAATAATTAATTCACAAAAAATGTTAAGCTTTGAGTTTCCAACACATTCACAAAGAGCCTCCATGTGTCTCCACAGCTACGTTTTGCTTTCATCGGTCATCCCTGTTTTCTGTAACTGTCCAATATGATGGACCGGTCAATAAATGAATAAAACCCAGCACATGGTTACTGTAAGTCATATAGGCCTATGCATTTACATGAAGTACCAATAGATCAAATGCACATGTACAGCCACTCATTCAAGTGTGTCCTCTTCAAAAGCAATGTGAAGTGTACTTTAAATGACCGGGGGAAACAGGATGGGAGGGAAAAATAAACAATTTGATCAACTTCACATGCACTTCAAACAGTTTATACCGTTCACCATTTTCACAAGGCGGCCATTATCCTCAGATATCACACTCAGGGCGGGCAGCTCAAATGCTGTATAGCAGGTTACAAATCTTTATCGATCCACTTCTTCTTGATTAATCACTTACCAAAAAGTAGATTTAAAATCTGAAGGATAATTTGCCATATTTCAAGGTGAAAAGACACATAAGAAGTCATTCACTACAGTAAGACAAGAGCTAATGTAAGCCTGCGATCAGTTTCTGGCTGACATCACTCGTTTTTAGTATAACACGATAATTCCAAGTTGACCGCCGTGTTAGCTTGGAATTGACTGACCATCGATGTATAAGTAAGTTAATTGTCTAAACTAAAAAGACATAATTGAAGATAAAACTTAATCTTTCAGCAGTTTAATAGTAGCCCACAGTTATGTTAGCAAGGACTTATTTGAATGCTAATGGAAGCAGTTGTCCAACACATGCTAGCTACTGAGCTCACAAATGTGTTGTTTACATTTAAAAATTAGGTGCAGTACCCCCGGATACTAACCCTTTCCTTTTAGTTGCTACAGGTAGCTTGTAAACATTCAACCAATTCCTAGCCCAAACTATTGTTTGATAGAATTATGGACACAAATTCTAGCTAACAGTAATGCTAGCTAGGAATGTGCTAAATGCTAATTTTAGCTTTCATCTAACCGGCGTCATACAATGGGTTTTAATATATGTAGTTTTGACTGGTAATGTGCCACTATCTATTGTCTTTTAGTAGCTGTTTATTGAGGAAGCAGAAAACCGGTAATAGTTTATAAGATATATAACTTTTAAATGATTTTAAATAAGAACAAGACATTAAGATACTAGCATATCAGCTTCCCATCCTGACAGAGGAAAAGCGCCGCCATGTGAGCATGGTGATTTGATCCGTTCCAGTTGTTTGGGGTCCTGTGAGGGCAGGGAGGGAAAGAAGTGTGCAAATCAGTTTGTCCATCTTTGTCTCCATATAAACAGACTTTAAATCGATCTGAATTGATTCAAATTGGAATGAGAAGATATAAACTCATTATTTTGCATTCTTGAATTTGGTTTGAACAGTCTTCTAATCCTGTGTTGTTTTTATACTCTTCTGTTAATAATAAAAATATGCTGATATCGTCATACTTTGGAAAACTGGAGCAGGCATCTAAAAGTTTATAGACTATGCTGTTACATCGCCCACCTTAAATCTTGTTTAAAAAATCCATCCAAAAACAAATTCACCTTAAGTCAAACTGACCCCAGGTTTAATGTGGGAGCAACAACTGAGCACTGTGATCAGACACTGGCACAGCTAGGTGAATGTTCAGACGGTAAAGCAAAGTGCAGCTAGGCATGGCATATACTGTATCTTATTTTGAAGATTTCCTTAATGAGTATCCTCTCTTTTTTTCAGCTGAAGCAGAGATTGATGATATATAGCCTGGAAAGTCACAGAATTAAGCTAGCACACAGCTTCATGTGTGTTGGAGTGTCTTTGGGTTGGTTTCTGGTCTGGGCTTTTGGCTTTTGGATGTATGCATGCATACGTGTTTGGATGTTCCTTTGTTGTGGATGTTAGTCTGTGTTTGAGCCTGCATGCTTCCCTTGCATGTGTCTGTACATTCTCTTCAAAACCGTCAGATTTCCTACATTGTTTTTTCAGGAATCCTCCCTTGTGTGCATATTCTTCGGACAGCTGTGGCTCAGCAGTGCTCGAGTCCAGCAGCCTCCTGGCTCTCCTCCAGACTGCTGAGGGTCACATAGATGATGGGAACCAGACCCTGTGTGGAGCCCAAAGAGCACAACAGCCAGTCTGGATCAGCCTTACTCAGGACCTGCAGGACGTCGCCCTTGTTGAAGCTAAGCTGGCCGGGCTCCATTGCTATGTGGTGGCACAAAGCTCGAACTTCACTGAGGAGAGACAGAGGGGGAAAGATGAGAAAAGTGATTCCGATCTTTAATGGATAATAAAATGAGAAGAAAATAACAGAACATCTATGAACGTAAAATATATAATGCTCCTTAGTTGCATCTTCCCAGTTTTTATGATTCTTATTGTTTCTTATTTTTTTGTCTAATTATGAAAGAGAGCCCCACATTTAATTCGTATGGTTTCATAGAGTTACACTGATGACAGAAACAGATTATTTCTTAACATATATATTTATTACAAGTTGTATTGACTCTCCTTTGATTTTTACATAATGTAGTAGAACTTGTGAAACTTTAAACATAATTTTTGCTGTATTAAAAAGGACATATTATATCCCTTTTCCACCTTTTCAAACAGTCCCCTGAGGTCTAAATGAAACATCTGTACTGTGCTTTGGTCAAAATATAACATGGATCAAGCACCAGTGGAGGATTTTAGCCCTGTATAAACAAGCTCTCTCAGAACGCTCCGTTTTGGTGTGTGTGTCTCTTTAAATGCAATGAACCCCCCCGAGTTTTCCCAGTAGATATCACTCCTCTGTAGCGAGAATAAAAATGGCGGACCTGCGCAAATGTTTTGTTCTAGGCTGGGGGTGGAGTCTATGGGTGGCGATATCAGGGCAGGGGAGGGTATTTCTTTTTACCAGAACCCACCTTGTGACATCACAAAATGAGCAAATTTGAAACGGAGCATTTTTCTCTATGTTGTAAGACTTATGCAGACCACAAACAAAGGACTGGATGGATTTATTTCACATTTTGTGGGTCGATAGAAACTCAGGTTACCCAAATATGTGTTCAAAAGCACTGCCAAAGTGGATTTCTCATCATATTTCCCCTTTAAAATTGAGTAAGTTTCAGAATTTGGTTAGCCTTTGTTTTTTTTAAACATGAGTTTGATTATTTAGTTATTGAAGTGTGGTTTAACAAATGTAATATTCTTACAGGAGGAAATAAGACACAATGTTTAATTTTTTACTTACCATGGAGACTGATGTTTGGTTTCAGCTGGCTGAGCTGACCTTGGTGGAGGTGTGTTTTGGGTGTGGGTGGGCACGGCTGAAGTTTCTGTCTTTTTTCCACTTCCTGCTCCAATAGTCTGAGCTACGAGGTTGAGAACAGATCTGTCCAGCGAGAGCCAGCCTGACGGTGGCCTGAAAAATAAGTGGTAGTGCAGTTTGTTAGATCATTTTATAACTTTAAAAATAAGACATTGGAATATGGTCTTTTTATTAACAACAAATACCACAAAAGACCCAAATATGGAGACAACATGAAAACTACAAACACAATGTTTATGCCCAAAGAGGGCAGCAAATATTGTTTACAATCTGATACCACATTATGTGAATGTGAATGAATGAATATGCGTTTAAAAAGGTGGCTCTTCTACATTTTTCTATCTCAATTAGATAATACTGGTTTTGAAGTTTTGTGGATTTGGTTATTATGAGAACACATCAGATAACATCAGAATATTTACTGACCTTGTTGTTTGAGATTTCGCCCTCTGATCAGCTCCCTCCCCCCTGGAAGGAGAACCAACGCTGGAACCGAATAGTCTCCCCCAGCGCAGACCCTGTCCCTGTGAAGGGCTCTCCTCTGAAGTGGCAGCAGGGGCGTCGCCCCCTGTGAGTCCCACCTGCGGTTTAGTCTCTTTCTCGTGGTTGAGTACAGACTCTGGAGGACTCCCCATCCATGACGTCCTCCCCCTGGATCCTGCAGAGTCCCCACTAGAGCTGCTGCTGCTCTTCCTGATTCGGAACCCCTCCCCTTCTTGGCTTGACTCCGCCCCCTCGACTACTCCCTCCCTGGTGGGTGGAATCTGGCCTTGTCGTCTCTCCGATGACTTCTTCTTCTTTTCAGTCTTGACGAACTTTGAGCCCTCTGTTGATTGGTCGATGTAGACCTGGGAGGACTGCATGAGCTGATACCACCAGCCCGCCTGCCTGTCCTGCCGCTGACGCCCCTCCCCTGCCGTCTCCTTCTCTTTTTCCTTCCTCCTGTCCTTATCCTGTCCATCCTCACCTCCTTCTTGGCTCTCTTGTCCTACGCCTTTCAATCTCTGACCCCCCATTCCCTGCTCCTTCCAGAGAAGTCCTACATCTGTCGCTGTTTGTCTGCTCACACACCCAGCGTTCATACTCGCAGATGTCCCCCAATCCTTTCTCAACCTCGAATTCACTCCTACCTCCTCTCTCCTGGACCCTACTCCTTCCATCCTCGGCCATGTCCCCTCTCGTCTCAGCAGCCCCCTCTCTTTCTTCACCTCAGCGCTAGAATCTCGGACCATCTCACTCACCGTGGTGCTCCATCCCCTCATGAGCTGGAAGGTGGAGCGTGCTGATTGGTCAACACTCTGGCCGGCGGAACACAGCTGCTCCTTGCGGCGGAGTTGCTCCTGCCCCTTCTGGAGGAGGTGAGGTTCAAACAGAAGGTCCAGGTCAAAGGGAAGGAGTGACAGGGGCTGCAGCAGGAGGAGGAGCTCCTCAAAGAGAGGCTGACACACCCCCTGAGACAGGGGGAGGAAACCCCAAGGGTTGTAGTGTGCTGCTATGATATCTGAGAAGAGTAAAAGAAAAGAGGGAGAATATTAGGAGCAAGAATTTAAGCAAATTAAGTAAAAATATATCTAGGTCCTAAAGATGGATAAATTATGCTCTAACTGAGTCTTACCTTCATGTGTGTAGAGGTGGTTGAACCAGAACTCCAAAGATTTTAGACTGAAATTAAATAAATCCAAAATTTACAAACAATGCAACAATTCAATATTACAGTCTCTACAGGAGGATTATAAGCTCAATATTAAACTCAACTGAGTGTCATTACTCTACGCAGAAACGAAAATATTAGAGCTGTGTGTGAACGTAAACTTCTGGACAGTGGAAGTCAAATGAGCTGAAACTTGTAAAGGGAAGCAATGATGACAGTTAAAAATAGGATGAAGTGAAAAGACTCACTTGAGCAGTCCGAAGATGAAGGCGTTGAGTCTCATGCTGTGGCTCGTGAGCTCAGAGAACTGGCTCACCTTAGAGAACAGGCTGTGGAGAACACGTGTGGACGGGCCTGATGGGGACAAAAATACAAATGTTATCTTGAAGCACCGATTTTTTCTTGAACCTATAACATTGTACATCTGCTATAACTGTAATACTAATACTAATAACTAAAAAAAAAGCACTTGAACACAATACTGCTCAAAATCTGACAGAATAGCATCAATGCAAAAAAACAAACATCCAGAGCTTAACATATCATACAGCCTGTGTGCTATACACAACCTTAAACTCTTTGATAGTTCATTTGTCTTAAAAATGTCTCCAAGTGTGGCCCCGGTGGCCAAGTGGTTTGTTTGTGTGCCCCATGTACAGAGGCTAAAGTTCTCAAAGCAGACGTCCGAGGTTTGAATTTGACCTGTGGCTCTTTAATTACAACTAAACAACCATAGTACAGCTTGTTTGTTAAAGAAAGGGTTTATGAAAAACAAGGTTGTGGACTGGATTTTTTTCAGTATTTGGGTTCAGCAGTAAATTACTGTAGGCTATATATAATCATAAATACAGTACTGATGTTAATAACATTTTTTTCAGTAGAAGTTTTTGTGAAGCTATATTTACTATCACAAATGTATTAAAAAAATCTAAGACCCTCCATAGAGCTCTATGGAATAGTCCTCACCGAGCTGAGTAGAGGCCTCCACCAGGCTCCAGGGCTGACAGCGCCGCTGGCCAATGATCAGGTCCAGCACGTAGGCCTTCAGACCGTCCTGCAGCACCTCATGCAGGGCCGGGCACAGGTACTTGAGGATCAGGTGACCCACGTTAGGACTCACCCAACTGTTCCCCAGTTTAGCCTGGTAGAGTGGAGGAGAAACACCAGCGGATAGAGGAAATGAAAGTGAAACAAAACAGAGTTGAGGTCAACTGTTGGTCCATGTTTGCCAGAGCTCTTATCTGTGTGGATAAGTCCCCAGTTTGTTTTATTTGTAGCAAAACTATCAGCTGTTTGCTCAAGCTCTCACTAGGTGAATGATTAGAGGCTGTATTTGCCCTTTAGTTCTCTTGAATAATAAAACTGTCCTTTAGCTATCTCAATGAATCATGTCCCCCTTGCCAACTGCATTATGTTTCGGAAATTTAACTCAATTGTTAATCTGACATATTTTGTTTGGCATCTTGGTATATTGTCAATGCAAAGCTTTGAGTTTGTTTGTTGGATTTGATTTGGTTTGGGTGGTCTGCTAAATGTCACATTGGTGTTACACATTTGAAAAGATCAAGTCTAAAAAAAGAAAATAATATTGAATTCTGTAGGAACCAGTTCAAACTGTGAAACTGTTAATGGTAACAGTTCCTTACAATTAATTAAGTTTTAATTAATTTAAACATTGCTGTGAAATAAAATAAATAAATAAAAAGGCTACAGCCACACTATATTTGTTTAATCACATAATTGCTGATTTTAACCAATCCAGACTTCTGGAAATGTTGCAGCCAACTCAGCATGAGTACAGATGCAGATCAACTCATTGTCTATTCTAGCTGCTGTTAAATTCTGTGGGACAGAAGCAGGTCCGGTTTGTGCTTGCCTGTTTACAGCAGTATCCTGATTCACCTGTGCATGAATGAGAAACACCTTTTGAGAAAGTTCTGAAGTAAATGTGAACAGCTCCTCATAACAGAGAAAGTCTGTGTTTTGGAACACTACTTAAAAAAATGGAGGTTTGGACTAAATGGTGAACAAACCGTCAATAGATTAACTAAAATCATTCTGATTGAGCAAAAACTCCTTTACCTTTACATCTGGGTCTCGACTGGTGCTGAAGTGTGCCACAATCAGATCCACAGCTGTGTTCACGGCTTTCACCAAACCTGACAGAAGAAAATAGGAGAAGAATGTAAAAACAGATTATTCATGATCCTTTCCAGCTGCCAGTATCAAGTGTTTTTCCAGTGAATGCTGCCTGACCTATACCTTTCCTTATATTATATCCTATAGTAAGTGATTGGGCTATTTCCCATTTTGCACTCTTTTGGAAGGGAGATGAAATGTATTCAACTACAAACTAAAGAAAGACTGTCTCTGTGGTTCAAAGTTCGATTCACAAAGACAACAACTAGTTGCTTTGCGAAAACATTTTCATAATGAACTGTACTCTTTGGTTATTCAGATGCACAAACCGAACACGCTCAGTGAACGTGTGCCTGTGTATGAGGCTTCAGTGCACTCCAGCAGTGTAGCTGTTGGTTCGCTCTGGGAGATAAACCCTCGCTGCTCATTCTGCGACACCCTGCTGCTTCAGGAAGAGGTGTTAAATTACTCTCCTCACGGTCAAGTAGCGTTTTCTGCAGTAAGAGGCACTTGATTTAACCACCTCTCAACATCTTTTCACTCCCTGTTCTCCAAAACAACAGCCCAGCAGACTCTGGAAATGAGACGTTGTATTGGATTCTGTGGACATTTCTAGAGAACTGTAGTTTTCTCATAATTAATTGAGCGTTTCAGCCCCCAATAGAAACTATTTTTCTCCACTTACACCTAGTCATGACTTCTATTTAAAAACACATGAAAATGGGATACAATCTATGTAACTGATGTTTAACAAAAAAAAAGAGTCTGTTAGGAGTCAGGCTCCTAAAGAAATGCAAAGGGAACTTAGAGAGTATAAAAGAAAAACAAGTTTTCCACCAAAGTGTGCCATAAGTCTCCAAACAACAAAACAGAGATCTTTAACTGTATGTAAATGTATTTGTTTATGCAGGGGACAGGGCAATAACTCCAAGTCATTGTGTTCTTGTTTATAATTCGTCTATGTGAAGCTGGAATGGAAATGAGAGATTTAGAGGTGTACATGAAATGTGGAGGATTTAATTATTATTTTGAGTTAAAGTCACATTGGAAAAAAAACTGTAAAATCTGAAACCAGCGTGCACTGTTTTAGAGTTTACAGTTTGTAAGTCGTGCTTCTCCCAACAAGTGTGAAATGTTAACAAACGAGGAAGGTACATTTTATTTTGTTTGTCAGGTGTGTCAGTGTTTTTCAGCGGCATTCTGTTGTATTAAAAAACAAGCTTGGCTGTGTGACATAACATACATACTATTTCTGTTTCACTAAATGTTTTGGTCCTTTCTGTCAAGCTGGAATGCACCTTATGACCCCTCACATCATGTGACAGAAACTCTGTATTTAGGTCAGCGACAAAAATGGCTCCTCTTTACTTTAACTCTCTCATCCAGGTCTACACTTCCTCCCCGCCCACTACGCTCTGCCAATGAAAGGCGTCAGATCCAACCTTCACAACAGGGTCCTAAGTCTCTGACTAGACTCTTCTCCTCTGTCGCCCCCCGGTGGTGGAATGAACTTCCAAACTCAATTCGATCTGCAGAGTCCCTCTCTGCTAAAGACCCAGCTCTTTCATGAATACCTACTAACTTAATGATGATGGTTTCGATATCATTGATGATGATGATGGTTGTCACGATTGTTTGTTGTACTTTGCCTCTGTGCAATGCCTGTCAGCACCTGTGTGTCCAATCGGACTCAAAGCTGATCGTTTGCTCTTACTGACATTGTTCCCTTTTTTCTAGATCCTTGCTTGTGTTGTACTTACTCTCTGATGTATGTCGCTTTGGATAAAACCGTCTGCTACGTGAATTGTAGAATTGTAGAATTGTAGGTCATGTGATGAAAATGAATCCAGCTCCATGAAACTCAGAAACATCATGTAATGCATTATGACTTTGAACATGTAAATTCATCTCACTCTATGTTTGTCTACAACTACATGAGGTTGGTTAGTATCAGTGATTAACTAAATGATGAAAAAGTTCCACAACCAGAGCAGACTGTAGTTGTGCATATAAATGCATTCACTGGTGTTCTGAGGTTTATTATGTTTTTTTGTAAAATATAATGTAGTCCTCAAGGGGCCAAACCACTCTCCACATTCACTGTATCTTTACTATGACAGTGTTGAACGGATCCATATAGATTCTCAAATCGAACATGATTAAACATTAAGATACGTACCACTGCTTTCATCAGTCACTATGCAGAATATCAACACATTCATACATAAACATGGAGTCTCACCTCTCTTCTGCGTCAGGTCCACCGAGATGTGTGACTGTGATGACGAACAGGAGGAGGAGGTTGAAGCGTCAGGGGAAAGGCAGAACTCCTCTGGAGGCTTCTCAGTTAGGGAGAAATAGTCCGGCAGGAAGTCGCTGTAGCTCTGCTGTAGTTTAGCTGATTGGCCCATCACTGAGACACAAACACAGAAACACACGAGCAAATGATAAAACGATCTTTGACCTCGGACTTCTTTCAAAGTAAAAGAACTTTAAGCAACAAAGTCTGCTTTCTCAATAACCCTTCAGTTGTTCTAACTCTATCAGTAAAACTCTGAGCACCATTGAGCCGTGCCAGCGTGTTCCCAGAGAGGGCTGAGGGGAAATCGAACACGTTCCGTCGGGCAGGTCTCGGTCCCCCGCCCCTTCGAGGTTCCAGACTACCAGACAGGGAGCCTGATCCTGTAGAAGAGGAGCTCCTCTCCACTCCCAGAGGGTTTCTACGACGGTACTCTCTCCATTTGAGCGCCTGGGGAGAGAGGTGATGTGCTGTCGGGGTGGGATGGGTGTTAGGGTTATGAAAGAGGGGTTCATGGTCGGGAACAGGAGAAGATTTAAGTTCATGCGTGAAGGGAGAGAGAAAGAGAGAAAAAGGAAATGAGCATAGCTTATTTAAAGCCCATAAACTGACTTGTACAAAACTTAATAATTTTCACAACATAACAGCCATTTTTTTAGTTATATAGTCAGCAAACAGTTACAATGTAAAGATTATCTTTTTGCTGCTTTGGACAGGTGTTGATCGTGATCATTTCAGAGCCAGGAAACAAACCTGCTACTTTAATTCTCTGTGTTGAAACCTGCCCCTTATGCACATATACAAGTGGTTTTAAAGCTGAAGCTTTTTTAATATTCATTAATCATTATTAGTTTTTCGTATGAACCTGTTACTGATTCTTTCATTAAGAGAACGGTTGTTGCAAGAAAGCAAGAATAAAGTGGTAAAGAAGAATTAAATAGGAAAGTAATTGGTACAGCATAGAGCTGGAAAAATATATTGGTTTGTGATATTGACCCTTTTTTAGACGATACAATGAAGAAAACAATGGTGGTCTGTTTATTTTTCCATCTAAAACAAGTTTCTTTATCGATCTAAAAAATCACAGCCAACAAAGAACCATGAAGCAAAAAATATGCTGGGACTTGTGAAGTAATGTTTTTAACGTGTTACATGAAGTATACATCTGATGTTCCACTGTGACCGAAATTGACAGTTTATTTAGCCACCTTTTCAAAAGGGCAAATGATGCACATTTTGTGTCTTTTTCACTAGGAAGGATAAAATGGCAAAACAACAATAATTGCCCACAGTTACTTCAAAAGAGTTTTGTTGGCATGGACATTTTCAAAGGTTAAACTGTTTGGATTGAAGCCCCATCAACACTACAGACTTCTATTGTTGCTGCGTGATCAAAGCTAAACATCAGGAAAACGTCATCACAGTTTTGAAACGCTGAGGAAGTTTTACTTATTCTAACTTCCAAAGCACCTCTGAATTTCTTTAAGAACCTACCATTGTGCGTCCTTGCTCCAGATCCTTTGCCTCCCTCCATGTGATTTCCAGAATTCAGACACCCAAGCGGACTCAGAGTGTCACTGTGGAGAGCAGGTATACTGGGCAAAGCTCCAGGATGGAAACAGTGTCCCTGCACCACTGGGAGAGTTGGAGGCACCACCCCTCTCTTCATCCCCAGAGACGGAGGCGGTGGGGTAGACGGTAACTGTACCGAACCCCCTCCATGCTTTCCTGAGGGTGGGGTGTGGAGGGGGCCAAGTTCTGCTGAAAGCGGGCAGGAGAGACTGTGTGGCGGCTTGGGGCTCGGGCTGCACGTGGAGCAGGTCCCAGAGCTGGTCGTACCCTGGTGCCGAACCGGGGAGTAGCTCCCAAGAGGCGATGGTCGAACTGAACAGGGTGGAGGGCCTGCTGTGGCGAGAGACCCCTGGTATCTGTTGACATTATCAGCTGCATCCTCACTGTCCTCCCCCGTCTGACCCCCAGAGTCAGACCCCGAGCCGGAGCTGGAGTGAGCCTGCATCCCAGAGACGTAGCCCGTCAAGATGGGCAGCAGGGGCTTGGGCTGCGGGGGTTTGGAGGCAAACTGATGGTGGAAGGTGAAGGGCTGGATGGGGAGGGTGGTGGGCCGCTGGTCTTTTCTGTAGCGGACCACCACTGGGCGACTGTCTGAGGAACTTGACAGACCACCTGCATGAGAACAAGAGGGACGGAAGGGATTGAAGAGGATGGAGGAATAAAGGGAAAGAAAAGAAGTGTTTAGTGTTTATAAAGAACAGTTATATTAAAGTAAATACTTCACGGAAACAATCGAGACTTTAACTTTTAACTGTTTTTACAATTTAAATATAATTTTAGAAATACCTCTTCATATAACACATTACAACTTACAACAACATAAACAGACTCCAAAACCAACCCAGAGTGAAGTCAGTCTCTTAGCAAAATAGGAGCTTAATAACCATCACAAAGGAAAACCTTGTAGCAGGAATGCACTCAGGAGGCATCTTAAAGACATATATAGGCAAATATAATTCACCAAATATGTTCACTTCTGACTCCAAGAAAAAGGAAAAAAAAATATGGTGACTATAAAAATGTCAAACTCAAAGCTAGATGATCCCAAAATAGTGGCGACTGAGTTTGGTTTGAGTATTGTGGTGGGATAATTGGAATTATATAAAAATATATATCATTACCATCAGGTTATAATTCAAATGCAACACAACTTTGTAAATTAATCTGCTGATAACGTGTTGATAACTGATGTGATATAACAACTAAATGTTAACAGGGATAAATACTGTGAGAAAATAAAACCTTTGGAGACTGTGATATTAAACGGAGCAAGTGTTCACAATTCAGAAACTCAAGCCAGTGAATAAAATAATAATTATGATGAGTTATAGTTCAGAAGGTGAAATCACTTAATAATAATCCTTTCTTACTAAGCAGTATGAACATGACGGTCACATCGAAACCAAAAATACAGACTAACAGAAAACTGCCCAGTCATGAGTCACACAGCCTTTATCACACACAGCCATGCCACTGTAGACATTGCTCTGAGGTGCATGTGCACACAAACATACATATACCTAAACACACAATCAGACAAACACACACACACACAGAATAAACCTGAAGGCACTGCGTCAGGAGAGACACCAGCGAGGAAGTACTTCTTCTCTGCCACTGAGACAGAATCTGTGTGTTTTTCCCTGTGTGTGTATGTTGTTCTGCCTGTTAGTGTGTGTTCAAAGATCCAGTGCAGTGTACAGACAGGAGTGTGTGTGACGTTGATTGTGTTGCGCAAGCTGTTTGTCGCCCTAAGGCCGGCCCACTGCTGCTACCTTAGACGGGTGTAGTGATACCTCTCAGCCACAGAGGGGGACGTTGAGCTGTGGTAGAAACACACTGAAGGAGGGAGGAGGGAGGAGGGAGGAGGGAGGAAGACTACACACCCAGCAGGCCTGAGCTCACACTGGGGATGGAGGACAGAAACACTTCCTCTCTTTTCACCCTTCTATTTGCTCCATCATCTCTCTAATTGATGTTTTTTTCTCCTCCTCCTTCCCTCTTTCCCAAATCAATCTGCTTTTTCTCCTCCACCTCAACTCCTCTCCTATTTCACAAATGAATCCATTAGATGGCCTTCATTTTTTTTCCTTTGCAGCTCCCTGCTTCATGTTAGCATCATAAGCAAGCTAGCTGCATCCCAAAGGCTGTTAAAGAGGCCTGTACACTGCGGTGAAACATCGCAGCTGAGTGAAGTGAAGTGTGATGAATAATATATATGAACTGAGATGCTGCAGAGTCTCTCATTATAATCTTTCACCATCACAGGCTGCATAAGTACAGACACATGTTTGATTTTTGTTTGATGCCTCTTATTTCTAGGGATGACATTTTTCTCTGATTTATTTCTCAATCTTTTACCTGCCCTCCATCTGATCATTACTTCCTTAGTTTCACTGTCTAAGACAACCAACAAGCAGAAGAAAGAAAGAAAAATGAGGGCCTTCCCTTTTCCAACATCTGATGTGGTGGACTACAGAAAAATGTTTTACCTTCAGGAACATAAAGCAAATATTATATAAGCCAATATTAATAGTATTTTCTATTAGATTTCTTTAAAACAAAAGTAAAGAGGAGAATTATCCAGCAGGTAAAGCTAAAGATAAAATCTGGTGTTTCTGGTCCATACGGTTTAGGTTTTTCAAGCTCTATGGTTGAAAGAAAATAGGATGCATACACTTCTGCTTACTGACTAATATATTGTCTATATAGTATCATCACTTCATGTCTGGGTTACAAAATCGACATTCATGTTGCAAACTTGAGCAGGGAGAACAAATCCAATTCATAAGGGAAGTTTTTAACATTGGATTTTCAAAGTAAAAGTCTACATCTACATGAGATGTCGTGTTTCTGTCCGTTTTCTGGAGTTTTGATCTGTCCAAGAAACTTTAAAGAGAGACACACACTCTTTGGAGATGATTCCTTAGAACTGACACCTATTGATTAGGGTTAGGGTTATTGATTTGTGTTATTTGGATTTTAATATGTTCTGTTTGGATTATTGGTTTAAGAAGAGCAGAGGTAGTCTGTGAATTTGAAATGATCATAATAACGGATTTCTATACAAGAGATCTGGTTTGATAAAGAGATTTCAGAGGCTCCTGTTATAATAAAAGGGGACAGCTGGAGCGTTATGGGACATTCCTTTCCTGGTGCACTCACTTATTACTGTCCTGGTCTCAGTCCCAAAGAATTCAAAGCACTCACTGTGTGTGTGTGTGTGTGTGTGTGTGTGTGTGTGTGTGTGTGTGTGTGTGTGTGTGTGTGCTTATCCAACCAGACACACAGCAGGCAGCTAAGAGGTTTCTGTTCTAAACTCACATATAAACCTTCATGAAAGAAAAAAATCTCAGATAAATGAATCTGCTCTAAAAGAAGAGAAACGATTTAATTCAATGATACAGACATTTAGAGGGCACTCTAGTTTCCCCAGCCTTCACCAGTATCTGGAATATTGAGGGTCAGTTCAAGACAAAGTGGCTAAAAATTGTCGTCTATTGGCTGTGGGCTTAAAAGAGATTGAACCCATTGAAGCGAACTATGGTGCAAAGACTTAAGTGCATACTTTAGCATGTTCAGCTCCATTTGCTTGTTATACACCCTTCATTTGGGTGTCAAGGCACATGGTACATGGAAAAAAAGGTTTGTTTTAAGCCTGGGGATACTGATAATATTATTTTTCTTTCTGTTAGCAGAACCTCCTTAACCATCAGGTGAACTTTTCATTCACAAGAGAAGCATTTCAACAGGTGGATGTTTTTTCCTCAGGAATAAATAAGTATATAAAAGAAGTGAAGGGAAGCTATTTAACAAATAGATAGATCGCGTATGGCCGTGTCATCAGTTGATGATGGAACACATTAGCCTGTTGTCAGTTTAGCAGTTAATTACCAACCATCCCAAATTTAGTTGAAGCTCCTGTGACAAGGTTTCGACTGGCTATGAAACAGACTAATATTAACACTAAGGTGGCTATATGACCTACAAAAGAAAGCAAGACCATCAGCAAGAAGATTGACTGTGAGTTACAGGCTACATTTAGAGTGAAGAAGACTAAGTTTTTTTTGTTGAAAAAACACACCATGTTAACATGTAGAGGACAAGATCAGTTAAGAGATAAATCATCCTCCATCATCCACAGGGGGCGCCAAAATCTGCACAAACCTTAAAGGTCCCATATTATGCTTTTTCTGGTTTTATATGCCCTTTAGTGTGTTTTCCAAGTGTCCTGTGCATGTTTAGGGTTAAAAATTCAAAGTCCGCGGAAACACGGCTTCACCTACGTCCTCCTGTTAGCTGTAGCATTAGCTGCATGTAACGCTCGGTTCTAGCCCCCCTCGATAACAATTTGTCAGTCCGACGTCATTGTCAGTGTGATATCACTGATCTAAGCCCATTGGCTCGTTGTGGCAAGCCCAGCAGCTCATGTTGCACGCCCGTTAACTTCTGTAGCACGCCCACGATATGCCGTAGCCTGCGGTAGCACAGTAGTGCTAAGGTGCTAATGTTTATGCTCCCCTCGAATGGAACAAGTGGCTGCATTCCCAATATGGTAAAAGAGGCGGGACATTTCCAAGAACAGTGCTGAGCAACTGACCAATAACGACAGAGCACACAGGGTACATAGATTAAATATAAATATACGAACCCCAAAAAGGGCATAATATGGGCTCTTTAAGTTTCTCACAATAGCTTTAGTCTGTTTTGGGCCTTTGAAAGCAATGTGTGTCCAAATTTTGCTGATTGCTTTCCATATTCCTTCCGAATCATTCCTCTGGTTATTCCAAAACCATTGGAAAATCTTGCATGCATCCCTTTTATACACCTAGTAAATCACATTTCCCTTTAGGAAAAGAAGTTTGTCATTTGTCTCCCTCAGAGAGGTCAGAAGGGCTCAGCTGTGAAACAGCACACCAGGAAGTTACAGGAATAGAATAATTTCTTGCTTTCTTATCAATATTTTATACTTTCTTGTAACTAGTTGATTATTAAACCATGAGTACCACTAAAGTCACAGCATGGTTCAATGACTCCACACTGGATGCATATTTAGGCATGAAAGTGGTGACATCATTTTGTCGATCATAATGTCGGAGCTTGTGTAACTTTTTTCTGACCTTTACTTTTTTTTGAGTCTGGCCTAAGTCCCCCGATTCAGAATAACACACACACACGAATGCAGTATGCAAACACACACTCAGGCCGTATCCGAATTGCCAAGTACATACTCAATCTTTCAGTAGGCAGTACCTACTATCCGTGCTGCATACTGCATACATTTAAATAGTTAAATCATTATTTAAATAGAGGGGGAAAGGTTTTATAATAATGCAGACATTTGTTATATTTTCTGTTGTTAATTAAAAGTGGTGATTTCAGTCAGGACTTTAACTCTAGATTAAAAATTGATTCAATTAACAATTCCACGCTCGTTTGTTTGATTTGGAGGCGGACGTGAAGTGACGATTTACGTTTAATTTCACACTGCATTGTGGGTGGTAAAATACAATTAATTTCCTGAAAGGATGCATCCGATCCATACTGCATAAAACCCGGAAGTTAGTATCCATACTGAAATGTTCAGTATACTGAGGCGGACCCAAAAAATGCCAACTGAATGAACACGAAAGTTCAGTATACTGAACTCCATACTGAATAGTACGTACTGCATACTGAACTGTGACAATTCGGAAAGGGCATCAGTATGCTGATGTAGAGCTCAGTAGGGGGTTTCTGCACCTTTATCGCCTCTCTAACCTGATTGTTATTCAGAACATGTTCGTCCCACATCAACTCTTCATTCCCTCTAAAGCTGAGGATACACACTCTGCATCACTCTGCTTGAAGCACATCTATACGCTGGCATGAGGGGATTTTTTTCACAGACAGAAAGGAAGTCTAAACAGACATAAATGAACAAAACCGTACAAATATACATACCAAATAAAAACAAAGACATTTCCACGTTGTAATAATGTTCCTACACTGTGGAAAAGTTTCTTTGTGTCTTAAGGATGCAGCAAGTAATCTAAATCAACATTTAAATTAATTTAGGGTTCTTTCCTCCATTCATCTTTGTCTGTTTCACATTCGCCTCTTTATCTGACCCTTATAAAATGAACTTATGTTCAAGAATAAAACAAGGACAAACTCTTAGACCTTACGTTTTTAAGATCATCTTATTTCCTGACAAAGATTAAAACCAGGCTTAGCAAAGCATGGTCGGCTAAAATCTCCTCATTCACAGATCACCACAGAACAAATAACTAAAAGTTTATTAAAGCATTTACATTCTTCCCACAGCTGTCTTACTTGTTATCTATAGTCATTTGTGTCTTCTTTAAGGCTGTTGTTGGTACACACTTTATGCTATTTGTTTGTTTGTTCAACTGTTATAACGGTCTCAATGACCATTTCTGGTCAACAATAATATCATGCTTGCCTGTTTTTGTATTGGAAGTGCATTAACAACACTGGTAACATATGCACAGGGTCACTTTATGACATCTGTCAAGGTACATCTGTCAGTGCTAGTTTTAGATAAACCAATGAACAATTCAAAAAATAGTAGTGACATACCTTCAGCCTTGGCCCTGGTCTCCCTTGCCCCCTCCAGGTGTCGCTCAATGCTTCCATGACTGTAACATCTGGTGAAGGGTACAGGTGACAGGCTCAGACTGTTAACCTCCGCATGCTGTTCGGGGATTGGAGAAAAATCCACAGAGGAGTGGGAGTGGGTGGAGTAAGTGGAGGAGAAGGGGTCTGCGGCTGCTTTCTGCGACGGTGACCCTCCTGTTGCTCCGTTTCTTCGCTTGCTCCTAGCGATCTCTGCAAAGGAGGTGACTCGAGGAGGAGGAGGCGGGGTTGGGGCGGCGTTCTCGCTGAGCCTGACAGGGCAGCTCAACATCCGCTCAAGTGACCCGAGCGGAGGAGACGGAGACTTGTCCAGGTTGCGGTCGTAGCTGCGAGAACGGGGACGGCCTCCTGATGAGGTTCCGCCTCCGATAACACCCTTGGTTACCACAGGAGGGGAGACGTTAACGTAAACCTGGCCTTCTATCACTGCAGGAGCAGCTTCAGCCTGCTGATCATTCTCCTCCTCCTCATCTTCCTCCTTCTCCTCCTCTCCATCCACATCATCATCCCGCTGTAGAGAGGAAGAAACAAAAAAGAAGGGGGAAAAAAACTGTCAAATTCTCTCAAAAAACGAATAGTTACAACTATAGTTTAATCAGGAGACACATCAGACAAAACAAACTAAAGACCTAAACTAACTTCACGCCAGATTACCTATGACACAGTGGCACTGTTCCTGACTCCTGGCCGTCAGCTTAACATAACTGCTAAAATAATCTTCAGATACCTGTTATATGCCTCGACTGTGGCTGAGTTCTAAATTAAGCAAGAGTGACTGAGACTAATTCCAGTGCAATAGCTATTTGGAGTACAATTGTCACAGGGGTTTCAGTCTGATTTATTCCAAATGTATTTTTTAGGTTGAGTTTTCTAATATAACCAGGCTGTTGTTGTAAACAATGTAAAATATCCATCCATCCATTTTTTTTCTGCTTATCCAAGGTCGGGTCCCAGCGGCAGGCAGCAGGCGAAGTAAGTCAACCCTGACTTCCTTCTCCCCAGAAGCGTTTTCCAGCTCCTCCTGGGGGATCCCAGGCCAGACGGGATGTTCAGTATAACACCTCCAGCAAACTCTAGGTCTAAACCGAGATCTCCACCCAGTTGGGCGTGCTCGGAAAAACCTCCAAACCTCCATCAAATGCCGGGGCAATGTCTAATATGTAAAATCTAAATCATAAGATTGCCTGATTAAGGTACGTTCATCAGCAGCTGTCAGATGTTTCAATTCCAAACATCTATAGGGCCGTCACACTAAGCAGGCAGCAGCAGGCACTGAGATGGCATTTCATTTATAGCAGACACCACAAAATGGTGGTGCCCACGAATCGGTGGACTCCCCTATACCGTAATTGCCCAAGTTAAAGTAATTTTTTGTTTATGAACAGTTCTTAAACTTTGATTCTAAATAACAATAAACATCATCATCATTTTTCAGATTTACATACAGTAATACATGTTTTCAGTGTAACCTATTACATATCTTAAGGTATGATGAATTTGTAAAACTATAGAGGTAAAACTTTCTACTCACCTTCGGTGATTCTCTGTCTTCTTCTTCTTCAACGCCCACCTCATCAGCTCGCTGTCTGAACAGGAAGTACTCGCTGGGCTGGGTTGGGGTTGGGCTGCCTTTGCTGTGCTCGTCGGAGCAGCTGTTGACCGAGGAGCCTGCAGGACTCGGGGATGACTGGGATGATAGGTCGCAGGTCACCAGTTTGTAATAGTTCTGGGTGGCGACAACCAGGCGTGCCTGGCTCTGCAGACAGGACGCTATGTCTCCAGATGAACCAGAATGTGGAGGGTGGTAGGAGTTGCAGTTGGCGTCGAGGTCAAGAGCCCCTTGGTGCTCCACAGCGCAGGAGCAGGTGGAGGATGTGGAAAGGTGTGGTTCTCGGATTTGACGGAAGGTGCTGTCAATGCAGGAGGGCTGTTGCTGTAATAGTGGAGGTTCGGATGGGGAGGTGTGGAGGTCGAAGTAGAAGGCCCCTCTGGTTGAGTCTTGTTGGTTTCCATGGGGATCAGAAACAGATGAGGTGCAGGAGTGGTCGATGGAGCTGTTGAGGTTGGTGTGCCCAGGGACGATAGTCTTGTCCGGGATGCCATTGTTCATCTTGTTGTAGATTGCGCTGAAGTTTACAAGCACGCCATCCGAGCTGTTGCAGGAGGAATCACTGCCATATCCCTGCTGGCACTCTGAAAAAGGCTCAGGGAAGTGCTGAGGGTAGTTCTGGGAGAGCACACAGCAGGAGCAGTGCTGTGTGGAGGAGCTGGACGAGTAGGACCCTGTCTTGCTGCTTCGCCCACACCTCATAGGGTGATCTTCATCTTCTTCATCGTCATCGCCCCAGTCCTGTTCGCCACAATCCATGGACATGTTGGAACCGCTGCTGCCATGGCGACGCTGGCTGTCCAAGCCAAGGATGTTCAAGTCCTCCAGGTGGTTTGAGAGATCTGCTGCTACACCTCTCAGGCACTCCCTACTGCTTCCGCCCACCGAGCTGTGCAGAAGAAAGGGCTCACGAGCAAAGCCAAGGTCGTGGAGGTGGAAAGGAGCCATCCCGTCATCGAGGCCAGAGTTGATGTCGCTGTGGAGGTGAAAAGAAGAGTCTTCAAGGTAACCATTTAGGTTGTCCCCATCATCATCCTCTTCTTCCTGTTCGTCGTCCTCCGTGTTTAGCAGGAATGGATTGTGACGTAAAGGATTCCTATTCCTCGGTTTGGCTCGGGGCAAAGTGTGAGCAGTGATCAGCTGGTCCTCTGAGTTACTCGAGGTAAACGATGAATCATCACTGGCAGTGCTGCCTCCTCTCCCTCCACCCTTTCTCTCTCTCCCTCCGTTGTTGGAGGAACAGGGGCTGTTGGAAGTCTGGATCAGGCTGCTGTAGAGAAGAGCCTCTCTCTGAAGGACGTCTCTCTCTGGGAGGGAAGTGGTGCGACTTAAACCCAGGTTCTCTGGTTGGCTAAAAGGGTTGCTCCTCTTCAGGAGCTCCCGCAGCCACCCTTCCGCCCACCTGACACTTGGCAGTGCACCAGGGGGATGTGATGCACAATCAGGGTCTCTCCTGAAAGCTTAGGAGGGCTGTCCATGGTCAAGGAGAAGGGAGGGCCCGTGTAGGTGAAGGGGAAGGGAGATATGTAGAGGACTGTTTTCAAACTGTGTTTGCTGGGTCTAGCTCAGCAGGGCTGCCAGGGACTTGAAATGAGAGGTCAGGGAAGTCTACGCCATGGTCAGAGTGGTACATCTGGAAAATAATAGAGACAAGGAGAGGGGGGAGACATTAATGGGGCAGACCAAAACAGGCACCAATAGTGGGAGTGGGGACAATGAGGTCATCTTAGCTAATTTTCGCACAACCTCAATATATTTAAAATTATGTTTTCAATGGCAGATGGGTCACTCTCAGTCATCTTATTTATGTCTCTCCCCTCATTTTCTTTTTAAGGTATGTTTTTGTGTCTTTGACATGAGCCATGACAAGACATAGCCATAACATTTTTTCAAGTTCTGTAAGAACATTTCTTTAACTAGGCTAAAAAATAAAAATTTAAGTTACTAAGTTACTGTAGTAAATTCTCTCCTGAGAGAAAAATTAGAAATGAAGAAGTCAAAATCAATGTCCAGAGTCAAAGAGTTTAGGACTTTAAACCCTAAGTGTGGTTCAAACTCACACTGGATCCTGTGTAACATAAGTCATCTGAGCAACTTTTGTTGAATCCCAATATCTTCTTACAAAATAGGTTCTTACAAAGCTATGAAAACCCTTAAGATAACTCTCATTGACAAATGAACATTGCTGTTGAGAGTCTTTAGAGCTACACTATATGAGCTATGTCTCTTACATACGTCTCATTTGTGCAGCATAAATCACCATAACATAAGCTTATCTTCTGTGTCTCCAGTAGCAGAACTATAAGCTTCTGGTCTGATATACACTGAGCAGGGTGACTCAGCACCATGTGAATTGGAAACAGTGAGGCCAATGGAGACAGAAACACCCACAAACACACACATGCACCAACAGCTGACTCTTAAACAGAGCGATGATCTCAACCCTATTCACATGGTCACCCTAAATGACACACTGAAAGTACAGCAACCGTTTCCCTCTGCATCTTTTGTCCCTTCTCAAATAAAAAATCTAACCAGAAATGTCACATGTACGGCATGAGTAGCTACTCATTCGTTTATTGATGATGATTGAATTGATTGATTATTAAAAACTGTGGAATAGTTTTAGCACCATGTACACTTTGAAAGTAATCAAACATGAGCTGCTAATGCATCATCTTCCTATCACAGAGCAACAAGGTCTATATTGATTAAACTTCATTCCGCAATGTTAAAGAGTAACATACGGTTGTTGCCGATGTCAATACACAACTCCCAGAGAAGGTGTGGTACCTTAGTGTAATTATAGACAACAAATTGGACAACAAGAAAATAACAGCCTCTGGTGCCTTGGATATTTAGCACTATTCTTCTTTATTTACAGGTCATATTAAAGCATACAAAAATTTGAATTTTCACAACATTTTTCCAATTTAGAGATAAATTCATATTGACTGTTTATGATACCCCAATAAGGAAATTTTGAGCTGAAAATGGGATATATCTTTCATGGCAATCAAATGTAACCAATTACTCTGCTTTATTGACATATAATTTAACTAAAGAAATTTCAACAACAAAAAATATATTTTAAAGCAATTCCAGAGTTGAACTGTCTGCTCAGCTGTGCCTGTGATGCTCTGATGTGATGTAAACACTGCTCAGAGTATTGTAAACAATGGAGTCGAGGCACTATGCTGCACAAATTAAGTGATAAAGCAAAAAAGCTAGCTCCGGTTAGAATTTTATGACCTCATATTAATATAGCTTTATATTTTTCGCTTTTCTGGTAACTGCATTACATCACACTATTACAGTATTAAAAGGGATTGAGAACAGACCCCCTGACTCCCCTTTGAAGAAGCCTGTTTAATGGGATATTTAACTCGTTTCTGTTAGGCCATCACTTAAATGACATGATATGAATAGAAAGTCTGTCACTTAATGTAAGTTCAGACCACATTTACTTTGAGATGTCCTGTTATTCCAAATGATTGTGGATGATTCATACATATGAAACAACTACATCTATTTCTGTCAGCACAGCTGTTTTTAGACGTATGGATGTTTCTGTTGCCTAGGTTACTGAGAGCAGCCTCAGTGTCTATTGGCCAACTTTCAGATTCAGGTTAGGCAAATGTAGCCTTAGTTCTTTGTTATGTCTTTGATTTTCTAAAGTCTCGTAAAGTACAATATGAGCTGGATTAGGAATGAAAGTTTGCTTTTAATCATCTGCTCACCAGATCATAACCTGGACCAGACGACAGCTAACTAAGCCTTAGAATAATCCCTCTATTATACCTGCTTAGTAAAACATAATCCCAGATAAAGTAGGTTCATTAAAAGCTAATTCTAAATGAAATTCTGATTCTTAAATCTTTCTCAATCTTTCTAAGTGCCGCAGCGACAAAAGAGAATGAAATGTTCAAGAAGATTTACATATTTAAGATAGAAAGAAAATAATAATATGTTTTAAAATATACAAGATGATTGCAAAAGCCAAGAAAAACAGAACAACACAGAGATGTACAAACAAAGATACAGTTTCACAACAACATGGCACTCTTACAAATGCTGATGAGACCTTTATGAGCGCAGTTACAAGCAGGCGCACAGTGAGCAGTGCTTTATAATTTTTACTGCTAGATAAAGAGATGGGAAAGGTCAGCAGAGGCTGCAGACTGCAGGTCTAAAGCTAAATGTTAGCGTGATGAGACAGGTTTCCTCAGGAGCAGACTAATAACAGAGATGCCACTCTTGACGAATGACCTTTTTAAATCAGGAGTGGTTGGTATTTGCTGTCAGGGCAGCAGATAAGTACGTCTCAACCTTTTTAGCTTAAAAAAAGGCTGATCTCTGCTGCAGCCAGAAGTGAGGAACAGTTTGGACCTTTGACAGTTTTTTAGATTATTTTCACTTCAATAATTATTGAGGGAAAACAACTTATCGGTCCAAGCATTAAACACCTGCTAATGTCTTTAAACTTCATTCTGCTCACAAACAGCTGGGGAGTCATCAATTGCTTTCAGTGTCACCTTCAGTGTTAGGTTTGTTCCTCTCCATACTAATTACTCAAATGCAGCATTGACTCAGGTGGAAGCCAACTGCTCTAACTCTTATTTACTGCTTCTCAAATGCAACATCACAACTACTAATGCAAGTCACAGCAAGCATATTGCAATATCAACCAAAAAAGCAGAGAACACACTGGTGAACAGAAAACGTAATGCAGCAATTTGATTACGTGCACTGAGATCAAAGCGAGTGCGTGCAGACAGTCTATGCACCAGGCAGGAGTCACAGTATATTTCCTCACTCCGCCCTCCCATTGGTCCGTGGGGAATTGTCCTGATAATATCCTGCTATGTTCTCACATCAGCCCACTCGGACTTGCTGCAGAAAAACTACTAGGGGTCTGTCAGACGAAAAATGTGTCTGTTTTCGTTCACACATCCAGCTCCTCCAGCAAATAACAGGAGGTTTTCAGGAGTTTTCTGCCGGTGTGAAAGCCCCTATAATATATTTGAAATACACATTGTACATTTTTAGCACGGTATGTAGTACATTAGGCTACCTGGTCATTTTAAAACAAATCTTGAACATGTTGATCTTAAGTAACTTAGTAACAGCTAGAAAAAAAACTACAGCTGCTTTAGTAATCTGATGTCATGCAGACAGTAAGAGATGCTAATGTTACATAAGACCAAAGAGACTACAGAGACATCAAATATGCACTTAAGAGCCCAAACCGTGTGATGGGATTGTTTCAGATATATTTTTTGTCATGCATTACAATAAGGATTCAACAAATGTACTGTAGGACAACTACCAAAACCTAAGAGAAATATTAATGCATGTGAACAATATAAAAGATTTAACAGAAGAAGCTCTAACCATGGATTATGTTTGCCTCATCTACCTGTCTTCAGATTCATATTTCTGCTATATTTAGCTCCACATATCCATTTTTACAGCACTGGAGTTTTTTTCTAGAGCATTAAAATAGCATTTTTGTTAAATCCTATAAGTATGTATACACAATCCTTTTCGACATCACTTTTGTAATTTGTGAGTGTGATGGCTCTGGTCAGTAGAAAGTGACATTAATACCATTAGTTTGAGGGTTCAGACAAAGAGAGCCCGTACTGTTCACACCAGCTTAAGGAAATTTAAATTGGTTTAGAAGATTAGCTTCAGGTCAGATTGGTTTGGTTGTGTAACGTGTGTTTAAATGGGACGGTTAGTGTTGGTGTTGGAGAAGGATATTAACACAAACTACTGGCAAAATTCTCCGGTCTTGTACAAATGTTTGTGCGATTCTGTTACAGAATCAAGCGGCTCGTTTTACATTTTCTGGTCTGCTGCTGTGTAATCTAAACTGCTCTAGAAAAAATAGCAATGTAGAGATAGAAACGCAAGCACACACACATGCATACAGAGACATTTTCTGCATCGATTCTCTGCCAGAACAAACCAGTTCCATCTAATCTACCTTTGGTTTGTGATGAGGAAGCCAATAGCAGACTCCAGAATCTTACCTGGTCAGCAGAGAGCATCAACAACTACATAAGGCAACTTTACTTTATTTTGCACACTATGATGTCATCATTTTAAGCCCCTTAATGTGGTAATGAACCCTCTAATGGTAGCTGTAAAAGCGTCCCTCTTCTGTACATTAAAGTAAATGTTTGTCTTTTTTTTTTTTAAATGAGGGTGTCCAATCAGTGTTAAAGGTAAACTGTATGTGCTAGGTTGATCAAGAAAGCAAAGTTCTTGGGGGGGCCATCAATTCTGTCCATTGACAGCACTATTGGCCAAATGACTACAGATTTGCAGCTGCAGCAGAAAGACAGAGAGCACAGAGAACTACATGCATTTTTTTATTAAATGATATGCTATAATTTGGTTCAAAAATACAAAGATGAGTTTAACTCACCTAAATATAAAGTTAATATTAACCTAGAATGCTTTCATGTATTTCTCTTCGTTGGTTGCTTTAACTTATTTTTATAGACTCCAAAGCTTGAAACTGATATATGATATAATTTAGTATCCCAAACAATTCTTTTTGGTGATGAAGATAAGTCAATTCATTGCTAAACGGAACCTCTACAAAAGCTCTGTCTCTTGTTA